CTTAAGTGATGACTTGGGGTTATGCTTTGATTGAATGATCCCCTTTGAGCCACCTTTTGGTTTTCAAGTCAAGTTACTACTTTAGCGTACTTAATTTTTCCTAGGTTACCTATGAAAGGTTCCCTAGTGGACATTTTCTTTTTGATCCTCACTTTTGCCTAGTTTACCATTTTTTTCTTGTGGGTCTCCTAGCGGACCTTGGTTTAATTTTTACGTAGCCCCATTAGTGGGTTTCCTACTAGGCTTCTGTCTTTGTAGCGTTCATTTAAGATGAGGGATGCCTTATTAGTTTGATTTTAATAAACCCTAGTCATGTTTGAGTTGCGTTATCATTCCTTTGTTACATTTTCCAATTTTAATGTATGTTAGGCTCTTGTCCAATTAACGTCCCTTATTCCAAATACGCTTTGTTTATTGCGGGTTAATAAGTGAGGCTTAGAGTAAGTGTTTAAAAAGAAAGAAAAGAAATGAGATAGAGAAAAAGTATGTCATTAAAATAATATTTTGATTTACATGTTCCCTTTTAATGTAGCTCAAGGGTCAGGCATGCCCCAAGTTCGTGATTCGTACATAGAGAAAAGAAAGGAGATGCCCTTTTGAGAGGTTCGGTACAATTAAGCCTTCTTCTGATGCCAACATTTTGAAAGCTCTTATGCAAAGGGAGATGTCTTAGCTTTTCCTCCCTTGAAGATGTGGTTGGCTCATATCCTGAATCTTGTCGCCTTAGGTTGACTCGAAAGCTTAGTTATTTCTTAAACATTTCTACCATGCCCTTATCTTGGTTGTATCCCATTTCAGATGGCATTTATGATACTAAACTTCCATTGCTTGAGACCCTATTAATACGAGAAATCCTTAGGGTTTCCTCTGCTGTATTCATGTAAGAGATGCAGAATGGCTTGTTGATGAGTAGTTCTTCCTTAGCTTGAATCTATTAGCGGCCTGTCATCTGCCACGAGCTTGACGTTTGATGTTTTTATATCCCTTGGTAAGTGTACCAAATCGTATAAGTAGTTCAATGAAAGTATGAGTATCGTCTCCGAAGGGACTTGCGCAACACTTTGCAATTTCACTTGTTATACTAACTAAGCTAACAAAAAGCAATAAGAGTTTGATTTGCTGCAGTAAATAATGTAAACAAGCAATAACAATTCTTTTTGGTATTTTGGTAAACACTTAGAGTGAAAAACTTGATTCTAATGCAATATTAATAAATTGTTGGGGTTTGACTTCACTAAACCTTCCTCTCATGCTTATCACTAAGTTCACAATAGTTATTATTCAGAATTTATCAATCACTCTCAAAAGTAACCAACCCTAATCTCTTACAAGTTGGAATCTAAGTTGCTAACTTAAACTATCAATCTCTTGCATAGTTTAACCAAGAAACCAGCTTTAAAAACAAGAGCTTAAGAAAGACCAATGGCATTTACTCTATCTCTAGCAATAAGCACCATTAGCTGCTCTATTTCATTTCAAAGGTTTAAAATCATTTCTCAATCTCTTAAAAACCTCAAGTTCAAGTTAAGGGTGATCAAGCCATAATAAGCATTATGCACAGAAACATAGCAACAAAACTGAATAACAACTAACATTGATCACTTAGAGTTTACACATGAGAATGGGTTTAGTTACATCAAACCCCAACAAGAGTGAGTTTAGCTACACATAGACATGTAGAACTCTACAAAATGATGAAGAAAGGAAGAAGCTTGATCTTGAAGGTTCTAGAGCTCTCCAGCCGCCACATAAACTCCAAGAATGATCTTCCTTGCTTCCCTTCTCGAAAATCCCACTTTTTGGTCATAAAAGCTTTTGTCTTATGTGAATAATGACATGTCAGCACAATCCACGCTAAGCGTGAGAAGCCACGCTAAGCTTGAGGATAAGTCTAGAGTGAAATGAGGTTCTGGGACTCCCACGCTCAGCCTCAGTTCCATGCTCAGCATGAGGATTGAAGTTTTTTTCTAAGGACTCTCTACCAAGCTGAGGCTAAGCCTGGATCTGGGGCTTAGCCTGGGAACTTAACCAAAAATTCCTTCAACTTCAAATTCACCACTTTGTGCTTGCCTTCTTTCCTTCTTTCCTAGCTTTCTCCTAAACTACAAAACAACAACCAAACACTTGTAAGTTACCTAAAAACATGATTCAAAAGCAAAATGTGATCACCTAACAATTTAGAGATGTTTTGAGTTAAAAACAAGGTCTAAAGCAAGGAAAATTGATATAAGTGCTTCAAACTAGGCCATAAACTTAATGAAATCATAGCACTTATCAATACCCCAAACATAAGATCTTGCTTGTCCTCAAGCAAAGAAAAATGAATCAACTAAGTTAACACACAACCTAATCTCCTAATTGAACACGATTTGAACACTGGTAATCACACAAAACAGCCATATATGTCTTCCAATAGTTGAACACCAGAAAATGTGTACAATTGATCAGCCAATTAATGTGGTGCCCACACAATTTGATATCAGAAGTGTATTGCAACAGTTCCCAAAGGGATTAACAACCATGGTAATGATACTAATGAAAATTAGTGAACAACCTCTTCCTCACCAAGGTTAGTGTTTCTCTCTTTCACACAAGTGTATTCAGGTGGGAATATCTCTCAAATTTACACAATTGAATCACACAAATCAACTTTGCTTTTCATCTCAATTAAATTCAAACAATCACATAATCATGCATAGATCACAAGGTCTTTTATGGGTTGTAATGTGGCTGGGCTAACAAAAGAAATTGGTTTTTCTGGGTAAACAAATGACACCATAGGAGTAGAAGAGCAAGTCTTAATGATCACCATGTATAATTCCTCTTCCTTTCTCTATTCCTAGAAGTCCCAAGATACTACCTTCACCCAAAGCATATAGATCATACAACACACTTATTCACACAATTTAATCACTTTTTGATGTTTGATATTTTTTTTTCTTTTTCTTTTGAATTTTTTTTCTTATTTTTTTTATAATTTTTTTTTCTGATTTGAAACTGAATAATAGCTGACTAATAGCCACAGTGGTACAACCATAACATGTACATTCATCAATATGCTCAGCAACAATGATCACCCTAACATACCCCAAACTTAAGACTTTTCTCCCCTTATGATCAATTTGACTGCTCTCATATTCCTAAGGTGTGGGAGAATTTTGTTTTTCTTAAGGGATTCAAGGTTTTCAATGAATTCACTGTTTGGCTCAAAGTAGGGTGTAATGGATTTACTTTTTTGTTAGGTTGGCTTTTTGGTCAAGTGGCTCAAATTTACAAGAAAAATTGCCTTGATCATCTCTAAACAACATATGCTATGCAAACTCAAAAGAGACTCAAGAAAAATCAACCGCATGAAATCAAATGGTAACACTCTTACAACAAGAGGGGCCAAAACTCACATGGGTTAATAAAGGTGGTCAAAACTTTTCAAAAGTATCATGCCACAGTCATTAACCACAAAAGTAATTATCATACACTATCACTAATCATCCCTAGAGTGCAACCACAAACATATTTGATCTTGTGTCTTAAAATACCTTTGTTCACTAAGGGATACATGCACACCTAATTTTTGAGTTTCCAGTTTTCAAAACGCATTAAAACCACACAAACATAAGCATTGAAATATGTACACATGCAAAGTTTACTACTAATTGACATCCATACCACTCACAGTACGCAACAAAAGGTAAAAGGTTAATAAAGTAATACACAACAAGATAATCAAAACAAAATGACAAAGCAAATAACAGAACAAAATAACAAAACACAATTTTTCAAAGTGACACAGCTTAGTCTTCCTCCTCATCCTCTTCAGCCTTGTCTGACTCTTCTTCATTGTCAGCTGCATCACCTCCCCATGTTGTTGATCATGGCTTCTTGGCCATGCTACATGAGCAGAATAAGTGAATGTAATTAGGAAGACACAAAATCAGGCAAAACAATGAAAAACCAACCTAGTTTTTTTTTTTAAACTTCCATAGCCACGCTGAGTGCCCAGCCCACGCTCGTGAGGGTTGCAGCAACGTGCTCCCCTTTTGGTCCCAAAAAAGCTTCACCCACCACCAAGAACACCAAAATAACTTGAATCTTGTACTGGGCATTCACAAAAATAAGGTTTCCAAGGGTTTTAAGAAGACCCATGCACAAATATACCACCACAAATGTGCAAATATCATCAAGGAACATCAACCATGAAAATAAGCCCAAAAACACCATGGATACAAGGTTTTGCACGAAAATGGGTAGGGGGGATTAGATGAGTGGGGAAAAATAGAAATGGAACCAATAGGGAGGGAACCACACAAGGTTGGGGAAAGAGACTTACCTTCACGCCGTTGATGAACAAGAAGAGAGAAAATGGATCCTACCCACACTAAGAGCAAGACGGCCAACGAATGAAAAGAAAGTAACCTAGGGTTTTGAGAGAGTTTGTGAAAGGTTAAACTAGGGATAGAAGAAAAAAATGGGCTTCTGGAGAAAGAGTGAGAACATTTATTGAAAAAGTGACTTCTAGGCTAAGCGTGGATCTGAGGCTTAGCGTGGGAGCTCCGGGTGCCCCATTTTGCTGCCACGTCCATGCTGAGCGTGGATTCTAAGCTAAACGTGGGAGTTCCAGAGAGAACTCCCAATTTTCAAGTTCAAGTTTTGAGGCTCAGCGTGGGACTGAGGCTTAGCGTGACACCTACAGAGAGCTATTCTTGTACCTCTGCAATTATATAGCTTAGCTTGGAACTTCATGCTGAGCGTGGATTTCAGTTTTTGTGCAGATTTTCAAAATTTTCAAGCATAGCTCAACATGAAGTTCCTCAAGCCCTCACAATCACAATGGTTTTTCAACTAAGGAGGAAACACAATGATTAACCATGCACCTACACCTAAAACACACTAACACAAAATAACTAAATTTAAAGGCAAGCTAACTTGTTTTTGGATTAAAAATGATGGGTTGCCTCCCATAAAGCACTCGTTTTATGTCACTAGCTTGACAAGCCAAGACTTTAAGGGTTGTTCAATGCAATGGTGGCATAAGCTCGCTCAATTTCACCGCCTAGGTAGAGTTTGAGTCTTTGGCCATTTACCACCCAACTCTCCTTGGAGGCAAGGTCCTCCACTTGTATTGCTCCATGAGGCTTAACTTGCTTAACTCTGAATGGCCCTGACCATTTTGACTTCAGCTTCCCTGGAAAGAGTTTCAACTAGGAGTTGTAAAGGAGCACAAGTTGTCCCGGCTGAAATTCTCGTTTTAAGATCTTTCGTTCATGATACAACTTAACCCTTTCCTTGTAATGCTTAACTGACTCATAAGCATTGAGCCACACTTTTTCTTTCCCAAGCAGTGAGAATGGAAGCGGCTTCAAGCAGATTACATCATTTGGAATTGATTTTTTTAGCTTCTTTGTAGCCTCACACACTACCTCATCCAGCACATCACTCGGAAACAAGCACCTTTATCATTCAGATGGGTTGTGGCTTCAAATACATTGAATGATCACCTCATCTTGGACCCTCAATTTTAATTCACCATCCCCAACATCAATGAATGTTCGTGCAGTCTTCATAAATGGCCTCCCTAAGATAATAGGAACAGTAGAGTCCTCTTCCATGTCCAAAATCACAAAATCAGCTGGAAATGTGAATTTGTCAACTTTGACTAGCATGTTTTCAATGACACCATAGGGATACTTGATGGACCGGTCTGCTAGTTGCAAAGTCATGTGGGTTGGTTTTAATACCACATGTCCAACTCTATCTAACATAGACAAGGGCATGAGGTTAATGCTTGCACCCAAGTCTAGCAGTGCTCTTCCAACAGATAGGTCCCCAATAGTGATTGGAATTGTAAAGCTTCCAGGATCTTTGAACTTGGGAGGTAAGTTCTTTTGAATTATGGCACTGCACCCCGCTTCCAACTTAATAATCTCTTGCTCAATGAACTTTTTCTTCTTGTTCAAGAGGTATTTCATGAATTTTGCATAAGTGGGCATCTGCTCCAATGCCTCTAAGAAAGGAATGTTGATTTGAAGCTTCTTAAAAAGCTCCATGAAGCGTGAAAATTTCTTCTCTTTATCCTTCTTGCTTGGGGCTGGGGGATATGGCATATCCTTGGTACTAAACACCTTGGGTTTCATCTTCAATTCTCTTGCTAGTTGGCTCTTTGATTTTTTAACAGCAACTTCCTCAACCAACTCTTCTCCCTCTATGACATTCTCTTTTGCATTTTTTATTTTTTTTATTTTTTTCATAATTTTCTCCACCTCCCTCTCTCATTTCTTCCTCATTTTCTTGTTGCTCTTCCTCATCCTCCAACACACCCACTCTCTTACCACCTCTTATTGTAATCACACTACAATTCTCCTTTGGATTAGTATGAGTATTGGCTGAAAAATTTCCCTAGAATTTTTAGCCAATTGTTTGGCCAACTGCCCCACTTGAATCTCCAAATTCTTTATAGATGCTTCAATACTCTTGTGGTTAGAGATTGAGACCTGCATGAACTGGTTCAATGTTTCTTCTAATTTAGATTGTCTATCATACAAGTTGGGCCTTTGTATAGGAGGTCTACTAGACTGAGCAATATCATTCTGGTTCCACCATGTGCTAGGGTGTGATTGCCAGTTCTTCCCATAATTACCACCATAATTTCCTCCTTGTCGAGCTTGATTCCCCATGTAATTCACCTCTTCTCCATGAGATGGGAAAGTATCAATACACTGCCAGTGAGGATGATTCAACCCACAAAGATCACAACTTAGAGCTTGATGTTGAGTGGATTGTAGTTGTTGTGGAATCCGAGCAACTTGCTTGGTAAGAGCCTCAATTTGCTGGGACAAGAGCTTATTTTGAGCTAATAAAGCATCTTGAGATCCCAACTCTAGAATTCCTCTTTTCTGTCTTGACTCCCTTTCAGTCGGTAGATCATAATCATTTGCTGCCATAGCATCAATCAACTCTATAGCCTCCTCTGGCGTTTTAAAACGCATGCTACCTCCAGCTGAGGCATCCAATAAAATTTTAACCCGTGGCTGCAATCCTCCCAAAAAAATGTTAACCTGAGTAAGGTCATCAAATCCATGACATTGACATCTCCTCAACAAGGATTTGTATCTCTCTCAAGCCTCGGAAATAAGTTCATCTTGCTTTTGAGAGAATGTGACAATCTCACTCTTTGCTTGATTGATCTTAGCAAGAGGGAAGAATCTTGCTAAGAACTTTGTCTCTATGTTAGACCACCTGGTTAAGCTTTGATGTGGTAGAGCATTGAGCCACATCTTAGCTTTCCCAAGTAGTGAGAAAGGAAACAACTTCATCCGAATCACATCTTCAGGAACTTGATGTATCTTCACTGTGCCACAAAGCTCAATAAAAGTATGGAGATGCAGATATGGGTCCTCATGATCAAAGCCCACAAATTGGTTGTTCTGAATCAGATTCAACAGTGCTGGCTTCATCTCAAAATTAGTGGCAGCGATTGCAGGAGTGGCAACTAGAAAAATGAGTAGTACCAATGGCAGCTGCATGATCACCAAGAGTAATTCTTGGTCTTTCCTCTGCCATTTCAGCTTCCTCTAAGATTTCAGATAAAGATGGATTGCGAGAGGACGAAGTAGCCTCTCTATGCTGTGCCTGCTTGGCTAGTAACCTTTGCTTCCATACTACTCCCATGTTCCTCCTAGCTATTTTCTCAATTAACGGGACGTAAGCTAAATCATTAGCAGGAACAGTACCTCGCATAAACCAGAATCACAAAGCTACAACAAACAGTCAGCAACACAGATACAATGAATTAAAAGAAAAGGAATATAGTAATTGCAAAATGTAAAAGAATAAATGAATCAAAGCCTAGATTAGTAATCCAAGTGACTTTGCCTAAGCATTGAGACACGAGTCCCCGGCAACGGCACCAGAAACTTGTTATATCCCTTGGCAAGTGTACCAAATCGTATAAGTAGTTCAATGAAAGTATGAGTATCGTCTCCCAAGGGACTTGCGCAACAGTTTGCAATTTCACTTGTTATACTAACTAAGCTACCAAAAAGCAATAAGAGTTTGATTTGCTGCAATAAATAATGTAAACAAGCAATAACAATTCTTTTTGGTATTTTGGTAAACACTTAGAGTGAAAAACTTGATTCTAATGCAATATTAATAAATTGTTGGGGTTTGACTTCACTAAACCTTCCTCTCATGCTTATCACTAAGTTCACAATAGTTATTATTCAGAATTTATCAATCACTCTCAAAAGTAACCAACCCTAATCTCTTACAAGTTGGAATCTAAGTTGCTAACATAAACTATCAATCTCTTCCATAGTTTAAGCAAGAAACCAACTTTAAAAACAAGAGCTTAAGAAAGACCAATGGCATTTACTCTATCTCTAGCAATAAGCACCATTAGCTGCTCTATTTCATTTCAAAGGTTTAAAATCATTTCTCAATCTCTTAAAAACCTCAAGTTCAAGTTAAGGGTGATCAAGCCATAATAAGCATTATGCACAGAAACAGAGCAATTAAACTGAATAACAACTAACATTGATCACTTAGAGTTTACACATGAGAATGGGTTTAGTTACATCAAATCCCAACAAGGGTGACTTTAGCTACACTTAGACATGTAGAACTCTACAAAAGGATGAAGAAAGGAAGAAGCTTAATCTTGAAGGTTCCAGAGCTCTCCAGCCGCCACACAAACTCCAAGAATGATCATCTTTGCTTCCCTCCTTGAAAATCTCACTTTTAGGTCATAAAAGCTTTTGTCTTATGTAAATCATGACATGTCAGCACAATCCACGCTAAGCGTGAGAAGCCATGCTAAGCTTGAGGATAAGTTTGGAATGAAATGAGATTCTGGGACTCCCACGCTCAGCCTCAGTTCCATGCTCAGCATGAGGATTGAATTTTTTTTCCAAGGACTCTCTGCCAAGCTGAGGCTAAGCCTGCATCTGGGGCTTAGCCTGGGGACTTAACCAAAAATTCCCTCAACTTCAAATTCACCACTTTGTGCTTGACTTCCTTCCTTCTTTCCTAGCTTTCTCCTAAACTAAAAACAACAACCAAATACTTGTAAGTTACCTAAAAACATGATTCAAAAACAAAATGTGATCACCTAACAATTTAGAGATGTTTTGAGTTAAAAATAAGGTCTAAAGCAAGGAAAATTAATATAAGTGCTTCAAACTAGGCCATAAACTTAATGAAATCATAGCACTTATCAGATGCATTCACAACTTTTCCTTGGAGACGACTATAGAATGATAGTGGAGCTTGGAATAGAACTTTCACGAAGTCTTGCTTCTTAAAGGGGATACCTGAGCTACCTATCGATTTTGAACTTAAGTAGACATTGATTTTTCCTATTTTTTTGTCCTTTTATCCTTAACTTTTGCATAAGATGACTATCGAGATTTTTGGCTTTTTTCTCTTACCCTAATTTTTTCCTAGAATTCCCTTTGCGAGTTTTCATTCTAGCGGGCTTTTATTAATGCCTTTGATTATAATGTTTCTTCCCTATCTTGGACTTATCTTTAGAAAGATTTATTCACTCCACCTCGCGCGTTTGAGAAGTTCATCCTCCTCCTTAGGTTCTTTTTCTTTCTTTTTTGGAGTTCTCCTTCACTTTGGAGATTTTATTTTGCAGCTTACTAGGAGTGTTGATCCATCCACTACAAGTTACTCCTTCAATCCTAGCGATGTTGGATGGGTCTTTGATTGATGATGTCTTGATTCCGTAGACTTGTGACACGAATTTATCCTTGTCGTCCGAGGAAAGGCTTGGTGATGGAAACTTATTGGAGAATCTAGTTGGCTTTGGCTTCTCCTCCAAGCTCCTCCCTAGACATTTGTCTCCTTGAATCTTCTCAAGCTTTTTCAAAGCCTCTTTAGGTAGTAGATGTTGCAACCCAAAAAATTTTGATCTTGTGACCTATGGTTTAGACAACCTTTTGAAAATTTCATCAATTAAGGAATGCCCAGAGACTAGACTAATTCATAATTAATGGTTTTGAAAAATGAGTTCATGGAGTCGCCACCAATGTTTTACTCAAAACATTGGAAAAAGAAAAGGTTTTTAAAAGTCCAATAATGGCCTTGATAACCATAATTGGGTTCGGGGGTCGGTTACGTGTAGGGAAGGTATACAACGCCCTTAATTGGTACCCTTATCATGAAGTTAGCATAATAAGAATTAATAAGTTAAATATTTAATCCCTTTTATTAATAGTTATTTACATGCTTGAAATTTAAATTATGATTGATCCTAAAATGTCTACATGATCGCTTTTATTATAACAATGTCTATTAAAAATGAGAAATAAAAGAAAGAGAATAAGATTGATTGAAATATCTCGTAGCAAGCTTTGTTAGATCTTCGAATATGGAGTTTCTTTAGGTGCTTTTTGGCTACCTTTCTGATGATTCATTATTTTCCCTTATTTATTTATCTTTTTGAACTTATTTTAATTATTGATTTGGGCTTAATCGCTTATTAATTGTGTAGTTTTACTGTTTGGGCTTCATTGGGCCAGTAATTCAAATTTTAATTAATTTCGATTCACTTGGTCTAATTTTTTTCTATTAATCATTTTTAGGTTAATTGTGGAGTATTTTTGGGTTTGGATATTATTTTTGGACTTCAAGAGATAAAGTGTCACGTCAGCGCCATGTCAGCACCAACCCGCCACATCAGTGCCACATCAACAACATGTTTACATTTTTGTTAACCATATTTTGGTTATTTTCGAGCCAAACACATGGGAAGGAGGCCCACTTTCATTTTAGGGTTTTTTAGGTCCTAGGGTTGACCATGCCGCCACCAACTTTAGGGACTTGATGTGACTACGTTTTGCCTCTTCTCCCTTTTACGTTTTCTCTGTTATGGAGCTCATTCTCTTATGTTTTTCTTTTATTTCTTCTCTGGTTGTATCAAGAAACTGAACCTTTACATTGTAGTAATACAAATTATTCATTTCTTCTTCTCCTTATTCCTTGCATTTTCATTTTCATTTCTATTTTAATGGAAGGCTAAGACCCCTGGGGTTGGCTCCTTGTTGTGGATTGTAATCTCTGTTTGAGGTTGGGTTCATTTTGTATATCTCTGTTCTACTTGGTTCTTCTTCATTAAATCTTTGTATTA